TGGCTAGGTTGGACCAAAAATTCCGTGGCTTGCGTTTTTTGAATGAGCGTGAATAGAGCACAGTCGAGGTTCCCGATTGTGCGTTTAAACGCGTTTTTCGAAACTTTTGTCTGCTTGGGTGATTGCTTTGAATGTTGTTTTCACGAATTCGAAAACTACTGACGCTGTTTTATTGAGACAACAGCATGATTTTTTTAGCAATCAATGAAAAAGGTACTATTAATAGATTTAATGCACATATAGTCTTTGCCTAGCCTAATATATGCTTTCTTTTTGTTATACATTTTCCTGCTCTTCACCGAGACCTATCTACCAGATTGTTGTTAATTTGAACTTATTATATGAGGTTCATTAGAAGTAGTGCGAATCTTTCTGCAATGATAAAAAATCATTTTGTCTCCCACTCATCTATATTTAAGCAGGACATATATTTTATCTACTTTGAGTCAGTGATAAAACAATCTCTTCATAAATCTAAACCAGCCATAGCCATATAGTTATTTATCGGATCGCTCAAACGAAAATATGCATTAGTTAATTAATGCTCAGATAGAAGCTATACCATAGAAGCTTGCACTTGCCATTTATAAATACTAGCATCACCAATGCAGATTCAAAAAAGCAACGCTAATGGAGTACAAATGTTGCGCTTCGAATAAAGACTCGAAATCGGACAAATTATTTAGACACTTGAGTACAAGCAAATTAATACAATATTCACAAACGGGCAGTTAAATATGAATACAGTACGATGTACAGTTATTTTCTATCTATTTGAAAGTACAAATATGTCAAGACTTAATTTTAATGACATATTCATTTGAGCTTTTTTAAATTAGATGTCTACTTATATTATTTTTCGCTTTCCTCTTTAGATATCCTCAAAGGATCCCCAATGCTAATAATAAAAAGGAAACGTATAGTAAGAAGACGAAAGCCAAACTGTAAATAACGACATAGCAACATTTACTCTTGAACCGTTTTGTAACTTATTAATAGTTTCTCGACGATTATTGCGGATGCCATCCAGTTTGTTGACTGTAATATAAATCAATACTGGAAAGAAGTCAATCAGAATATTTTTATCATAATATAAGACATACAAACATATTTATATACGTATATAAATCATTGAGTATTATGTTATTAAGAAACCAATCTAGAATGCACTTTTATGTGAATATAAGGTTTTATACTTTCAACATTTTCTTCCGTATTTTTTTTTCATTATTTCGTCTAGTTTAGTGTCAGCATGAACAAACCAGTTAGCAAGAACGGTATCATTCACCAATGAGTTCACATCAACGTCTTTAACACATAATTTATAACCCACAATTTCCCATGGACAAAACTAAGTTTCTTGTTCAGTTGTTGTTTATTCTTCTTTTTGTACTATTATACATAAATTTGTATGTCCTTTTATAAGTAACAGTCACCTATATTTGTATACTCATATTTTATTTACGTATTATTACGTTTTCTTTTGTATTTATTTCAAAATATACCATGTTTCAAATGTTTTTGTTTTTTCAGCCTCTAAAGCCACTTGTTCAAAAAAAAAACATACGTGAACTTTATCTGTCTTTGTAGACTAGTTTAGAGTGTCTCTTTTCATAAAAGCAAGAGAAATTGCATTCATAAAAACATAAAGTGAAAATTAAAAACCGGTCAATATCCTTTTATCATCAATACCTATGCACATAGAAAAAGAATGTACTGCGTCATCACATTTTTTTTCTCATTCTTTATCTAACAAGGTATCACTATTGTGTTTTTTGTTCGACACAATATGCATCATTCTTGATAGTTAGAATGATCATTTATCCCATTATTTAAACCTTTCAAAATATAATCATCAAAAAAAGAAATCATGTGCGTCACAACTACCTATCACCTATCGATAAAAACAAGACGCTTCTTTCGCGTTAAAGATTGTTATGTTTAGACCTGCCGATATTTTTTTTGTTCTACTGAATATTCTTCAAAATTCTGGATTTTTTTCATATGATATGCTCTAAAAATATCATAGTCTTGATCAAATTAATTGAAAGAATCGGGTGTCAACTTCATTTGAAACATGTCTGTTCAAAAATGTCCTTGACGTTTTGTCCTCATCAATAATTGTCCTTGGTAAAAATGTTCTTGAGCAACAATTCCTTGTATGAAAATGTCCCTCATCATCAGCTGCTGTTTTTAGAATATATTAGTAGTGAAACATGAAATGAAGACGTGAATCATCTATTAACCTCCATCTACTTCCAAATTGTTACCTAAAGAATTATATACTCGGTTTAGCAATAACTAAACTACGCTCCAAGAATTATTATTGGCAACTTAGCTTCTTGCTGAGAATGAAAAATAAAATGAAAATTTATTGATTGTAATAAATAATGTAAAATGCCGAAACTGCAAAATTAAAGCAGATTTTTTTTCTGTTATTTAATATATGGTTCGATAAAGCGTGACGAAATAATCAAGAATATGGATGTTGTCAATTTTTTGGAATGAATTTTTAGGAGAAAACTTTCGGTTTTTTACGATGACCTATGTTTTCTTCAAATCTCAAAAGTGTTTGTTTCACATTCAACGTGAAAAACTAAATGTATATAGATCATTTATAAATGATTTTAATACAAACAGTTTTTCATGTTGAATCTGAAACAATTACTTTTTAAATCTGAAGGAAACAAAAACTTACCTGTTTTTCAGAAAAAGTAGGTCATCGTAAAGAAACTGAAATTTATTGACTAAAAACTTATTCCAAAAAACAATAAATGAACAAACCTATATTATTGATTAGCTCGCCACGTCATATCTAATCGTATATATAAAAAAAAAGTTTACTTTAATTGTGTGTCTTCGACACTTTGCAAACACATATCTTCATTGATCTTCTGTGGAAAAATTCAAAATTATATGAATAACTAATCTTTATATACACTTACGTTAAGATTTTGATTGTTAAAATTAGATCATAAAGAAGAATAAATAGAAGAATGATCGATTTTTTTTCATTTGTCCCCTTTCATAGTATCAGATTAATATTCATATTGTTAAACGAAATGTATTTTATTAATGATAATACTAGTAATACGAATTCATTTATCATTTTTCAACTTGAGTTTAAAAAGAAGACGTATAGACTTTCAATATGTTCAACACATTATTTCCAAACACAAAAGAAAAAGAGTGAGACTTGGATATAAACATTTTTTTTTCTTTTCTTTTTTTTCATACTATAGTAATGTTGACAAACACAGTAATGCAATAACAATATACCTTTGTTCTCCTTGTATTGAAGTGTTTGTCAACATTACTATACGAAGAAAAAAAAAGAAAACATAAAAACATGTTTATATACTAGGTTGGAAATAATATTTTTCGAAGGGGCAACGCTGTACTTTGAAATAGTATCAAAAATAAATTTTATACCAAAGTTAAAGCAAGTCAAAAATGGAATTTGTCAGTACTAAATAGTAAGGATTATGGCAACTTTTCAATGTTGAATTAAGGAAATTTCTGTATTTTATACCGTGTCGACTTAGAAAAATTTTTCTCATTAGGCAGTTCAAACTACATCTCATTCAAAATAATGAATGTCACAAAATAATGTTTATATTT